CCTTGTTCCAGTCTGAGTCAGCTGGCAGGGAAGCCCTGCAGCTCCTGGCCCTCTCCAGTGGCATCTGCTGCACACCTGTTACAGAGGACCTGGAACCGTGGCAAGGGTGGCATTGCTGTTCCTCACAGGGCAGCAGGGGACCCTGAGTCCCTCGCGTTCCTGCCCAAGGCAGTCTGTTCTCCCTGTAATGCTCTGTGAAGAGCTGCTCCCCATGGGCGCTGCCTCAGTCAGCTGTAAGGGGCATGGTTACTCTTCAGCATCTCCCCGCTGCCCCTCGCTTCCTGAAAACTGCAAGAATAGGAAGGCACCGTAACTCTTTCAGGGACCTACACCAATGAGAATCTGGTGGGGCCTGGACAGACTCCATCAAAGATGGAGCGCTCCAGAGTGCAGCTGCTTGTGCCGAGGCAGCTGATGTAGCTCATGGCCACTTTGAGGGGTCTGCAGGAGAGGCTGGTGGGCATCACTCAGGAATGTGGACCCCTTTTTTGGATCTGGCTGTAATCTCAAATAAGTTATACATGTTGTTGCTGTTGTGAGCGCATCCTTGTGTGGATGTTTTAGCAGGGTTGTCTCAGTGGGGTGTGTTTCTGTGAAGGTGTGGGAAGTCGGGCCGAGGGCCTTGCCAGGGCAGTGCTGCCCGAGGCGTGAGGAGAGCTGTTGCAGGGCAGTACAGTAAGGAGAGAAAGGGAAATAAAAGCCCAGTAGCTGAGGCCCTGCCACCCATGTGAGGAGACCTGGGGCCAGTCGGGACTTCCTGTTGCAGCCGGGCCCAGTGCTGGCATGACCCAGTGGAAGGGAGGGGAGCGCTCTCTCTATATCTCTCTCTATCTCTCTCTTTTTTTTTTTTTGTCTGTCTCTTTTTCAAAGATTTATTTGTTGGATTGTTATTTGTTTGAAGGGGAAAAATAGATTTTCCACCTGCTGGTTCACTGCCAGTGGGTAATGTACAAGACTGGTCTAGGCTAAAGCATCTCAGACTTCATAGTGTTCTGTTGGGGTAGCAGGGCCTGGGGCACCTGAGCCACCCCCTCCTCCTTCCTCAGACATTGGATTAGCAGGAGGGGATGGGAAGCCATGTAGACTAAAACTGGCACTGCCATGTGAGAGGTGCTGGCTTTGCAGGGAGCCGTGAGGCTTGCTGCAGCACAGCAGGAGACTGGCCCCGTGTCTCTGCCTAGTGCTCAGTGAATAAACATTAATTACTAGAAGAAAAGTTACTTTTAAAAGACACAAAATGTGCAAGCAGCTGTTTTTATGAACTATTAGCAACCCCCCAAAAAATCACTGTTTCAGATTGCTATAAAAATGCCTGAAGACCTTCATGTTCTGTTTCTGGGCCATCATTAACCAACCAATCACAGACGACTTACAGGACTGCCCTGAACTAGGTTCTTAGGAGGCCACGCCCCTCGGCAAGATCACTCTGCACCGTGGGAGACAAGTTCTGTTCTTATTTGAAAAAATAACCTTCCGTTTCAGAGCTCGCAGCATTTTGGGGGGCTACTACTATAGTCCATTGCTACATCATTCCAGTCTTTTCCTGGACCAACTGTCCCTCTTCTGGGAGCCCAGGGTCACCACGGCCCTGCACAGAACTCTGCTGTGGTGACTACGCTAAGATTCTGCCTACAGCCTTGTAGCCTTACACGGCAGATGCCAGTTCTAGACCTGTCGAGAGCCCTGTCTGTGACATACCTGCCCCTGCACAGTCACCTGCAGACTTGGCCGAGTGTGCGGGCCACGTTGGTCAGAGCCTCCTCCGGTGAGAGGACTTTGCTCTCCAGCAGAACAGCTTGCTGCTTGACGTCGTCTTGGGCACAGTCGTTCTCTTGTGTGGTACTTTGCTAAAGCAAGGTATTAACTTCAAGAGAGCCCTGTCTATATAAGCCCACTTGTGTTGAGAGAAAGGAAAGCAAACCAGTCTGAATGGAAGATGAGGGCCAAGGCAGGCCGCTGGAGTCCAGGCCAAGGTCGCCTGGCAGAGAGCAGTGGCCCTGGGCTCGGGCTCCAGGGCGGAGACACTCGCACCCAAGACCCTTAGCTTCTGAGTGTCCTGGCATCATGGCAGTTCAGGTGGACCCCTGTGGGCCTGTGTGGTATGCCCAGCTGCTCTCGATGCCCACAGCCCAACTGGTACCTTCAAGGTCCCTGCCTAAACGGATCAAGTGCATGTCACTACCCCAAGACAGCAGAGGTGACTAGCTTGCCTGTCTCCAGCACGGTGGTGCAGTATTCATGCAGTGGAAAATGGCCCAGCAAGCTGTCACACGGCCCCAGAGATGGTTCTTCAGATATAATCTTCCCAAAGATGCTCGACCCCGGAGAGGTGCTGTTCTGTCTTCTGCTCGTGGGTCAGCAGTTGGAGTGACAGTCCTCTGGTAACTGGAGGTCAAGGACAGACAGCTGAGTGCACACTGTGACTGCCGTGTGAGCTGCTCGGTGTTGTCCAGCTTGTCACAAGGTGTATGTGGCTGTGCTGAGTTATGCATCCAACACTTGCTTGTTCACCGTACTGAGGTCACATTGTGGCATAGTAGGTCAGGCCGCCACGTGCAGTGGGAGCATCCCTTAGACAGCAGTTCAGGTCCTTTCTGTTCCACTTCCCATCCAGCTCCTTGCTAGTGGCTTGGAAAAAGCAACACAAGATGGTCCAACATTTGGACTCCTGCTGGTTACGTTGAGAGACCCAGATGAGGCTGCAGGCGCCTGGCTACCTCCTGGCCCAGTGCTGGCTGAGGAGCCTATATGGGGAACAAACCAGCAAATGGAAGAGTTCTTTTTCTTTTGACTCTCTCTCCCTCTCTCTATAATTCTTGAATTTCAAACGACCTAAATGAATCTGTTACAAATAAATATTTTTTTAAAGAGAATGCATATCTGATGGGAGAGCAGTCAGATTGTCCCAAACATTCTTTGTCTGTGATTCATTTATACATTCCATCTGGAATGTTCTGTAAGGGATAGGAGTACTCTGCCACGTTGCAGGAAGAACAGGGCCTGTCCCTTGAGGGGGCTGTCCTTGCCTGGGTCGCTCTTAGTTCCCAGGATTGGCACTCGTCTGCTGCTCAGGCTGTGTCTGCTGTAGGACAAACTTGTGTGTGAATTTATTTCCATGCAGAACACCAAGTAGACCTGTATTCATGGGCCTTCTCGTTTTAAAAAACCTGTTTTTGGAAAATATGACATTGGAGAATTAACATACCTAATAAGTCACTACATGTGATTTTACATGGAAGTAAAAGATAGCTGACTTCAATGTATGAAAATACTGCTGTGTTCTGTAAGCAGCCTCTGTGCTGGGCTGGCCGCGCCGCACGCAGCAGGCGCTCGGCGTCCACTGTGGGAAGGAGCTGTGTTAACTCAGGCAGGTGATTCTGCCTTCCTGAGCTTGAAGTCGTCATCTCTGAAGTGCTTGTTTGACGAATGTGCACAGTGCTGCCAGCACCTTTGCATTCCTGTGAAAACCGTGTGAACTAGGGATGACCCCGCACACTGCACAGGTGCGCGTGTGGGTCAGGGGAGCCCGATGCCTTGTCCCACGGTGTAGGTGGTCACTCCATGGGAGCACGACACAGGAAACAGTCCTCGCAGCCTGTGTCGTAGGTACTCGGTGCCTGCAGGGTATTCCTTGTGGAAGAAGGCCAGCGCCTTGTTCTGTGCTGTACACTGAGTGCACAGCTCTGGGCTGCTCGCCTTCCCTGTGCGAGCTGTGTGGGATGTACTCAGAAAACGCAGGAAGGCATAATCAGCATTGTTGTAAATGTCCATTTTCCCACTGGAGGGAGGGAGCTCAGTGGATTGTGTTGGGTGCATGCACTGTGCCAGCAGGAAGCACGCCGTGTGCTGGCCATGCCAGGTCAAGACTCGATGGATCTGGGTGCCTTGGAGCACCTGGTCTCCGATATAAATGCAACTTGTACCTCTTGACTACCTCTGCTGTTGTTCCAGCCTACTTCAAAACTGCATCTAAACCAGTCAGTAGCTGTCAGCCAAAGCCCTCTGCATGTGACCGACCATTCACAGACCTTACTTAGCATTCTCTGTCAGTCCAGTTTGTTCTGGGCACTGGGAGCAGGTAGGAAAGGGCAGAGTGAGGGGCCCTGTCCTGGCAGAGTTCATGTTAGAGCCAGCTCTGGCTCATGTGGTCTCTGGCAGGTGGGAGATGCAAGGCCTCAAATGCCATAGTGAGACACTCTCCACAGGAAGGGTAGTCAGGCTTTGGGACCGCAGAAATAACATCACATCCGAGACAGTGATTGGCAGAGAGACTGTGGGGCTAGACAGACTAGATTCAGGTGCAACAGTGAGCTGGAAAGGAAGGGGGAGTCTAAGCCTGCTCCCCCATCTGCACCCCAACACGTGCTTGGGGACTGTGTCCTCGATGCTGGAACTTTAGTAGGTGCAGTAAACAGACGGCAGCCTTCCTGTAACAGCAGGTGAAGGCTGCCAACAGTTTCCGGGGGGTACACAGTCTGGGAGCTGACCCACAGTGAAGGTGCCCTGCACGTGAAGGGCGGGTATTGCCAGCAGAAATGTGTAGCTAGCCTCGGGGCAGCAGGGGCCAGCGTGGCTGGCTGCCGGGCGTCACAAAGTCCTTTCTTGCCAGGGCAGATTAGTTTTCATAAACGTTCCACATTCCTTCATCATAAAGGCCTGTTGGCTACTTTGTTTATTCTGATAATTGTGAAATTTTCATTAAATCTGGATCCCTGGGTTTGGTTTCTGTACTATGGCAAACAGGTAAGTGCCTGCAAGCACTGCAGGTCAGGAGCAGTGTCTGGTGGGGAAAGCAGGCCGCGCTGCTCTGCTGAGTGACGTCGGCAGAGGCCAGGGCGAATGGGGCGGGGGTGCCAGTTGTGTAGGGTGTGTGTGCGCAGGAAGATGAATACAGCCAGGGCATTGCTGAGCTTGGAGGGCAAGAACAGGAAGGAGTTTAGTATGGAACCTGCCCCTGGCCTTCATGTCAGCAGTGAACCTGTTTTGCTTCATTTCCGTAGAAGCCTGATGTGCGGCTCTCTCGAGGCAGCATTGACCGGGAGGATGGAGGTCTCCAGGGGCCGGTAAGCAGCTGTCCCAAGGTTGTGTTCAGGGTAGATTTCCAGTTCTTGGCTGCATGGGCCACCGTGTTTTGGTTCTGAGGTGTCTACTCTCAGTGTCTGTAATGAGACAGCACAGTCCATTTTAAAAATAAAGTGAACATCGCAATCAGTATGAATTAAACTCTGGAGTATACAGTCCAAAGTTCTTACTCAGATACAGAGATTTCCTGTCCTATTATTGATGCAGGTGTTTTAGAGGTAAGCCAAAATCTGTCTTAACAGAAGAAATAAATACACGTGTTTACTGCTGTGCGCAGCTTGTCGTTTGCTGCGTCCCTATATTCTCACTGCATGGTTACACAAGTTTCACAGTCACTGAAGACTTGCTCATCAGGATTTTTTTTTTCTTCTCAGTGTTGTAAGAGAGAATTGTCTGAAAATTTCTCAAAAAAAGTACCTTATAATTATTTCAACAGTGTATTTAAACCTTGTAAGAAATCTCAGGTATTTGGAGAAAAGTAGTCTAAACTCTTTCGCTAGACTTTTCCCTAGGAGATGGCTGGTTAAATAAATGTAGGTTCCTCTGGACATTGACTTGCCTCTTGGGTTACCGGTGTGGGGAGAGGAAGTTGGCAGTGCAGGGACAGGGGACCGCTGAGTATCCCTCTGAACACTGCTGACAGGGCTGTGCACCCAGGCCTTTACACAATTTCCCTGTATGTAAATTAGTTGGTATGGTGGTGTAGGAGCTTGGTCCACTGCATGTAATGTTGGCATGCTGCATGAACTCCACTTCAACACCTGGCTGCCCTGCATGGGGCTCCTGGCTTCAGTCTGGCCTGCCCAGGCTGTTGCAGCCATTTGGGGAGTGTGAAGCAGCAGATGGGAGGGTCTCTCTCTTTATCTCTCTATCCCTCCCTCTGTCTATATCTCTACCTTTCAAATAACTAAATCATTTTTAAATAAACAGAATAACAGGCATTTGGCATTGTGGTTAATTGTGCTTGGGATGCCCGTATCCCGTGGTGGAGGATCTGGATTAAGACCTGGGTGTACTCGCAATTCCAGCATCCCTCTAACCCCCCGGGAAGCAGCAGGTAACGGCTCACTCCCCCAGGTGTGTCCCCGCCACCAGGTAACGGCTCACTCCCCCAGGTGTGTCCCTGCCACACATGCTGACCTGAGTGACTTCCTGATCCAGAGCCTTGGGCTGTTTCAGCCCTGCTGCTCATCAACACTGGAGAGTTGAACTATCAGCTCTCTCTCACTGTCTCTCATTCTCTTGATCTCTGCCTTTCAAATCAGTAAAATAGAAGCCATTTTAAAATAGCACTGAATTTTAAAATGAGGTTATGTCACATGTTTTCTGGATCTTTCTGTGATAAACATCGTTGAACAGAATGTAGCCCCTACCTTAATTACAGTTCCACATCCATGAGACTGTGTTGCCACCTAGCAGGAAGATGGCTGTTATGGAGTGACCAGCTGTCACATTACATTGCTGAGGTCTGCCACCTTGAGGATAGGCCTGCACTGGGTTGGCACTTCCTGCCAAGTGTGCTGTTCGCAGACACTCCTTGTCAGACACGCCTTAGCTCGTGAGCAACGTCACGTTCTCTGCCATTTGACGTCTCACATGGAGCTCCTTCCTCTCAGTGAAAAGACGTAGCACCTAACCAAAGGATATGTTTGAATTGTTGAGGAGGAAGTAGACTCAGAAAAACGTCTTCAAGGGCTTGCTCCTTATAACATAGCCAACAGGAAACTTGTGAGAAAAGGAAAATCCTTGTGTTCCAGTCTGGCACATAGAATCCGAACATACGCAGACTCAGAGTCCTGGGAGAGGGATCATTCCGAAATGCGGTCAGATGACCCATGCTGTGCCCCCCCGACTGTGGGCTCACAGTTTGGTGTGCCAGCTCAAATGAGGGAAGACGGCGTAGTCGTGTGGAGGCTGTGCTGAGTAGTCTGCACATGGCAGCTCACGGGGGCCTCCTGGCACTCCTGTCCGCGTTGCACAGATGGCCCTTGCCCCAGTGCCCCGGTCCACTGATGTCGTGTGGCCCGGGGCTTGAGGAGCTGCCTCTCCAGGGGATGTTCACACACGTTACCACTTCATCCTCTCCTAAGATAACTGGCTTTCGAACATTTATCCCGTTGTTGTGCATGAGAAGCAGTCGTTGTTTAGATTCCAGAGTCCTTTTGTGGCTATGCTTGTTAGGCAGCGTCCAGCCTCAGTTTAAAGTGGAAGGCCCAGGATCCCAAGCAGTCCTGCCTTGTGAGGCTCACAGCCGCATGCGCACAGCGTGAGTGTGGCCCAGCTCTGCCCCGACAAGGGCTTGCCTTCCCCAGCCGTCATGACTGCCTGGCCTTTGCTGCACCTGAGTTCCGATTGCTGGATGATGCCAAGATTGCTAAGGATTTTCTAGCTAACTGAACTTTCTTGTCCGAGGATCAGCCAAAACATTCCTCAGATTTTTGTTGTTTTGGTTTGGTTTTGGTTTTTTGTTTGTTTTTAACTTTGTCTTTAGGAAACTAATGTTTTCATCTGTTTGAGTTCCTATGCAGTATCGCCCAGGGCAAAGCCAGGAACTTCATGCAGCCGCCTGAGGGGTCTCTGCATTAAGATGCCATGTCTATGTGAAGTCGCTTGGTTTGGTTACTGGCTCCAGCTCCTGGTTCTGGCTTCCTGCCAGTGCAGGGCCTTGGAGGCAGCAAGGGACACCTCCCATGACAGGACCCCTGGCTTCGGGCCCTGTGCCAGCCAGTGCCGGCATTTAGGCAGCAAAAAGGGAGATGGAAACTGTCTTGATTTTCTCTCTCCGCCCCTCAAAAAAGAGAAGGGGTTTAGTAACTCCTTGCTGAATCAGAGCAGCGTATTGCAGTGTCTGCAGCAGAGGGCAGCACGCTGTAGCACGTTGTGGAAGGCTTCACAGCCTCAGACTCCGCAGGTCCTTCAGACAGGCTGCTAGATGGCTGCTTGCCAGTTTCAGGAAACCTGTACCTGGGTGGAGTACGGGTAGGAGCTGGGGACAGTCAGGTTATTTCCTTGCATGGGCTCTTGCTAGACCTGGCGCTGATGGAGACGTAGCCCCAGATCACAAATGCCCTAAGTGCTTCAGAGGTGACTGTCCAGATACCCCAAGACCTCCTCGTCCTGCTGGGCCTCACTGTGTGTCCTGCTCACTGATGGCAGTGGGTGGGCAGCATGCCCGGAGCGCTGGTGTGAGCAGAGGGCACAGACATTGGGAAGACTTGGGCTCTTAAATGCCTTTCCTATGCTGTGGCCGTTCCTCCTCGAGGTCCTGGAGTTCCCGTGCTTGCCTCTAACAGCGCTTTCTGCAGTCCCTTAATTGCCTAATCACACACGTGTTTGATCCAAGGCCACAGCACCTGGCACAGAAATGGAAGGGGACAGTAGAAACTGAGGAAAAGCTGCTCCCCGGTGTACACAGCTGTGCATTTATTGAACTCTCCTTTTCCCATAGACTGGAAGCCAACATATATACCAGCCTGTGGGTAAGCCAGGTAAGTGAAGAGAGAAGTGAATTGGACGTCAAGTCTGTGTGCTTTGGTAAGAGCAGTTCTGCAGGTCGGCAGTGCCGTGGCTGTGGGGGTCCTCCATCTAGTTCTGTCTGCTTTGCTGGAGGTATAGAGGTCTCCATCCTCTGGCTCCCTCTCCAAGGGGCTGCTCGCAGGCACAGTGCAGTTCCTCTTGGGTGGGGAGGCTCATCTGCGTGGCCATCCACTGCCTCCCAGGGTGCACGTGCACAGGAAGCTGCATTCAGGCACTTGAGACGGGCATCTTAACTGCTGGGCCAAGTGCCACCCTTCCCGGAACCCTCAGCAGACAGTGCCGAGCCTGGTGCCAACCCCCGTAGCCCGTGTGCGGGGCAGTGGAAAGCAGCCTTCCTTGCCATAGTGCATCAGAAGTGCCTCCTTAGACAAATATGGACTTGGTGTCGATGTGTGAGGCTGTCTGCTTTCTTAGCATGCTACTCAGTGGGGATCCTTCCACTTCACCAGATCCTGCAGCTCCGCCAAAGAAGCCGCCGCGGCCTGGAGCCCCTGGCCACCTGGGCAGCCTCGCCAGCCTCGCCAGTCCTGGGGACAGTTACAACGAGGGCATTAAGGTGGGCATCCGCATGCTGAGCCACACGCTGCTTGTGGGATTCTCGGTTGAGGACATCCATCATAGAGCCGACAGGCTGGGACTGTGCCGGGTTGGTCCCCGACCCTCTGAGAGGCCCTGAGAAGCTGTCCACACAGGAATCCTTTCAGTCCCGTGTGTCAGCGTCACTGTCTGCAGGAGCGTGGTCACATCCTGCTCTTGCACGTGAGTCTCTGAGGTTTATGAAACCAGGGTTCCACGCAGAGCCAGGACCTTCCGTGGCTCCCCATCTGCGAGTCTATAGGCATGACCTGTGGGTCCACTTCTTCCCTGTCCATCCAGGAATTGAACCACTGTGAACATGTGTACTGAGAGCCCCTGTCGGACAGCAGGAGCACTTGGCTCAGGCACGAGCAGCCACAAGTTGCCCCTTGGCCTGGTGCCTCTGCAGTTGCCAGCTCCATGGAGAGCAGCGGGGCTGAGCCAGCGGTGGTGGTGGCTGCTCTGGTCCCGTGCAGCTTCCAGGAGGCACTGCTTCTCCTGCTTGACTCAGGCAGCATCTTGCACTTCCCCTCGAGGGAACATGCTTCACAGGAGACTCAGTGACACATGTGCTCTCGAGTCAGGTTCCTGTTGTCTCAGGAGTCAGAGAGATAGAGACGATGCTTCTGTGCGGGCCCGGGATGGCGATCAGCCAGAGGAGGGGGAGGGGGAGCCAGAAGGAAAGCGGGTGGCTCTGCCTCAGGGAACCCTGTTCCCCAGGGGCATCATGCAGGTGTAGCTGGGCCCTCTGCTCTGAGGGTCAGCACCCGGAACCCGTGCTCACAGTTGCCAGCTCCTGCATATCCAGGCCTCTGGCAGGGCTTCCGATGGTAAGGATGACTCCCAGAACACCTGTGAGCAGCTTGCTACCAGACCTTTTCTAATGTGTTTCCTTGGAGGCAACTCCCAGAGTGGTGTGTGCCCCAACATGAGCCACACGCAAACAGGCCTTAGAGACAGGCCCCCAGAGTTCGGCACGCCGCCGAAATGTCATTATGTGGGAACTCAGACAAGCAGGATTCTTGATGACAGCTCTGCTTTTCTAAAATATGCCAAGTACACATTTTTCAGTAAGCAATAAATGTAAAATGCATGTGTGTACTTCCTCCTTATCTCTCTACTTGGTAGGCATTACTGTAGACCAGGCTAAAAGAGCAGTGTTGTTTGCAGAGAGAAATATCCACTTCTAGTTAGGTGTGACTACAGTGATTCATCCACGTGACACCAGCCACAAGTCTAGTCCAGCCTCACCCTCAGTGGTTAGCGTGGACCGCATTGGTGGAGGATGGTGGTTTGTCACCGCCAGCCACAGAGTTTCCAAATCATCAGGCTCTAGAACATAGAAAACCAAAAGCAGATTTCTCTCTAATGAAGATGTGGCTTTGGGAAAGACCCTGTGGGCAGTCCGTGAGTGTCCTGCAGAGCCCCCTGGGACAGGAGCTGCAGAGGGTGGAGTGCAAAGAAGGGAAGCTTGAAACAGGTTCACCTCCATCCCTCTCCACATGTGAGGCCGAGGGGCCTCAGAGCACCTGCTGGTGAGCTTCTCCTTGGCACCTTCCCCAGGGAACACTGCCCAGGTGTGTTGGTGGAATCTGGATTGGCATGGCCACAGCCCTGCAGTCTCATTGCTGGAGATACAAGGAGACGCCTCAGACAGGACACAGCAGTGACTGCCTTCCCTCTCTTTACTCAGCTCTGGATATCAGAGAACACGCTTTCTTCCAGACGTTTCTAGGGAAAGCAAGATACTCAGGTTTCCCCAGTACACTTCTGGAAAGTGGAAAGTAGTCACAGTGGGACAGCCATGTGTTGGACAACAGAGAAAAAGCGTAACACTAGTTGGTGTAAAGTATAGAATCTGACCATAGGCTCTCTGTTTATTCTTAAAAGAACCTCTTATTGTCTTCCAACACAGCCTGAGCCAGGGATCTGGGCTACGCCCAAATGAGGGGCTCAGATAGGTTGGCAGAGATGTTGAGGGCCAGGCAGGGGACAGAGGCCGTGCCCCTTCTCAGGGCTGAAGTGTGTGTCTCCTCTCTGCTCTGTTGAGCCCTAATTCTGTTGACTCTCGCCCTGTTGCCACGAGGTCCCTCAGCCTCTGCATGCTGTGGCCCTTGCTGACCTCGTGGAGCTAGCTTGGTGCATGGCAGGCGTGCTTAGGGAATGTGCGGGGTTCTGCCGAGAAGGCCATGGCAGGAGTGCTGCTTGGGTACCACGAGTGGAGCTGACAGTGTGCGCTAGTGCGCGTGAGGGTGGGGGATTGTCTGCTGCCTTTATTAATATTGTTTTTCTTTTTTCCCTTTCTCTGTTAAATTCCTTTAACTTTTCCTCACCTTCCGTTCGACAATAGCCATGGAGGGTAAGCACATTGTGTCCGTGTGTCTGTCCAGCTCTCTTGCCTACACCCAGCCCTGCACACCATTCTGGGCGGGGAAGCAGGGAAGCCCAGTGGGAGGGCATTTGTGCCAGATGCCAGAATCTCCATCAGTGTTTGCTCGGCATCTTCATAGTGATGCAGCTATTCTGGTTGTTTTTGCCTCATGCTCAGACTGTGTAACAACCAGGAACAGAACACACCTGTTAAGACCACCTGGGCAAAGGCCCAGCAGGCTCACGGGAGGCACCTGCCATGGCGGACTCTGCACCGGCAGCCGGCCCCTGGTGAAACAGTCCTTCCACTTTGTGCCTCGTGTAATTCTGATCAATTTGGGTTTGTAAATACTGCCGGAGAGCTCCTGGAGGACCTGGGAACTCACCTGCGCTTGCAGCCTCATCACCTTCGTTCAGTTCGGGTGTGCAGCTGAGCCTGGCGGGCCCACGCTCAGCCCACGTCTGCACCAAGCCAGCTGGGCAGTTCTAGGGCAGGAAGGTTCCTGGCAGGGTCACTGCTCCGACTGCGGGCACAGAATCCACTTGAAGCTTTCTGAAACTGAAAATGACACACTTCTGTTTTGTGGTTGAAGGGCAGCTGAGCTGAGCAACACGGGTTTCACTGCTTAAATCAAACCAGGTGGAAATTCTTAGTCTAATGTGGCATTTTTTGGCCATTGGCCAAGGAAGAGACTTTCTCTGAAATTCAGTAAATTCTCATAGGTGTACGTAAATTACTTGTTTCTCGGGTGGCAAATGATTTGGGGGTTGGGAACTTCGAATCACTTCTGTGAAGGAATTGGGATTTCAGTCTAAGATGTGATTCTGTGTCGTTTCCTTTTACTGAGCTCAAACTTAGAACAAATCGGTGCTTGATTTATTCATCACTTGGATGAATTGCTTTACTGTCATTCTCAAACTGAACTGCATCCTTGGAAACAAGAGAAACAGTGGTCTGCTTTGACCTCCAGATTTAAAGACCCTCTCTGACCTAATTTGTGGTGATGCTACGCCATCTGCTGGCAAGTAGAAAAGTGACCTGCTTCTGTGTTCTCAGCTTCAGCCGCAGGAAATCAGCCCCCCTCCTACCGCCAACCTGGACCGGTCCAACGACAAGGTGTATGAGAATGTGACGGGCCTGGTGAAAGCTGTCATCGAGATGTCCAGCAAGATCCAGCCAGCCCCGCCGGAGGAGTACGTGCCCATGGTGAAGGTAAAGTGCATGCCCACTCACGATAGCAGGATGGTTTCTGCCCCCAGGTCAGACGTGTCGCTTTGAGACTGCTCCCAAAGGCACCGAGGTCTGGCAGTGTCGGTCAGCACTGGCTGCTACTACACATTGCTCAGAGCTGCGGCTTGGACTGAGTAAAGCAAGCTGCAGTCGGGCGCAGAGCAGGGCTCACACTGAGCCACTGGTACAGGGCATGGGTGTCCCAGCTCTGCGTCCCAGCACACTCTGCTCTGTGTTTGTTTAGTCCAGAGACGTGCCTGCCTTTTAAGGCTTTTTCCCAGAGGGCACGTACATCTTTGTGTTCCTCCCTAAGTCTCCGTGGGATTCCTCAGCGTGCCTGTGCTCTTCCTTGCATGCCTTGTGCTTTGCGTGTTCTCTGAGTGCCTGGAATGGCTGAAGTTCAGTGAGGACCAGAGGAGCGATGCTGTCATGGGCCCTGCCTGTGTTGGCGGGCTGGCTGTGCACAGACATGGTGTCCTGTGCGCTCAGCTTGCAGCTTGCCGGTCTGACCCTGTGTGAGTTGACTTGCTTGCGCTGCTCTTCTTCAGCCGGAGGACTGTCAGGACTGCGTGTAGGGAAGGGGAGCGGGAGCTTCCTGGTTCCCACGATGGGGCTCAGTGTGAGACGACCGCTCTGTGCTCAGAGGATGGGGGATGGGGGATGGGGGGACAGGAGCAGGCATGTGCACAGCCATGAGGATCCTGCTTGGGCCCAGGCACCCTGCAGGGCAGGCCTAGCTCTGCTCCCAGTGCCCGCAGCCTGCTCACTTACGCCCTGGGAAGCAGTGGGTGATGGTTCAGGTGCCGGAGTCTGGCCACCACAGGAAAGACCTGCAGGAGTTCAGACTCTGGCTAAGCCTGGACTAACCACAGCTGTTCTCAGGCTTCCTGCAAGTGAGGCAGTAGATGGAAGACCTCTTTCTGTCTGTCTCTCTCTGCCTTTCAAATGAAGTAAGTAAACAAGGGGAAAAATGGCACAGGCGGAAAGGAGATGGAAGAAATGTCCCTGGAAGGGAAGTGACTGTCAGCTTGCTGAGGCTTGTCTGGATAGTGTGCTGATGCTGGCTGTGCTTGTCGTCTTTTAGGAAGTTGGCTTGGCTCTGAGGACCTTGTTGGCCACCGTGGACGAGACCATCCCTGTGCTCCCGACCAGCACGCACCGAGAGGTAGGCACAGCACTGGGGGCGTCCTGGGGGCACGGTCACCCTGAGAGGTGGGCACAGCCCTGGGGGCAGTCACCCTGAGAAGTAGGCACAGTACTGAGGGCGTCCTGGGGGCACAGTCACCCTGAGAAGTAGGCACAGTACTGAGGGCGTCCTGGGGCACGGTCACCCTGAGAGGTGGGCACAGCACTGGGGGCGTCCTGGGGGCAGTCACCCTGAGAGGTGGGCACAGCCCTGGGGGGCATCCAGAGTGCGGTTGGACAGAGGTGGCTGTGGTATGTGGCCCGCAGAAACTGGCTGTCCCTGCTCCGTGGGTGATGGCCCTCCCAGTAAGGCTGGACCGTGCAGTGGCGCCTGTTGTTGCCAGCCAACTGCAGAGCCGCCGTCGGGTGGGCTCACTGGAACACAGGGTGCGGGTGAAGTGTGAGTGAGGACACGAGTGGAAGGCACTGCTGGTTCTGGTTCCTCCCAGGGCATGATTGCAAAAGGCAAGATACAAATTCCTTTCAAATTATCAACCCACGTTTTCTTGTATCAGAGCTCCCTGGCAGTACTGCTTCCCAGAAGCCGTCATTGGTTTTGCCACCTTTGGCAGTTCTGTCTGGCTTACGTGTCTAAGAAAAGGAAGAAAATGCTCCCGATTAACTTGCTCCAGCTAAAGGCACCTGTTGTGTGGTTAGGATTGCTGCCCATGTCTGTGATGCTCACGTGAGGTGTGTCCCCAGCAAGGCACCCAGAGTCCACAGGCCAGGCTCCCGTCTCACGCCTCTACCCCAGGCGGTGTCGTCTGACCCAGTAGTAGCTTTCGTGTTTTGATTTTTTGTTATTTGTTTACACTTGTAATGAAATCATTTCAGATATACAGAAAAATTGAGATTAATTCAAAGAGTTGTTAAACGTCCTTCTCCCATCTCTCATTGCCTTGTGAACACTGTCCTCACTCACATGCACTCTGTTGCTAATGTTAGACCGTGTCCCCTTGCCCTGCTTTGCTTCCATTTGTGTCTGTCAGGCCACTCTTTTACGTAAGTACCTGCCAGCTGTCACATTCCAGAACCTTCCACTTGGCTGTGACTTGTGTTCCTACTGTGGGGTCAGGTTTTGCTCCTTATGGTTGTCCTGTGATGCTTTCCCCATGGCATTAAGAACCAGCAGCACACACCCTGCCTCACCCTCCTATGACCCGGAATAGTTCCTTAAGCATGCCTTGCTATCCGTGACATTCCTGTGCTAGTCCTGAGGTGGGGCTGAAGGGTGTTCTGCTGTGGGGTTGATGGGCCCCGCAGCCCGCGTCCTGCACGGATGGTGTGGACTCCTGCTCCTGGGCTGCACCTCTCCGGGGGTGGTATTTTGGTGAGCCAGGCATTCCCTCGACATCCACTGCTGTGGGTTGTTCTTTTGGGAATGCACAGAGCCACTTGGATCCTTTGGAAAATGCTTCTGACTGCTTGCCACAGGATAACTGTGAAATCTTAGCCAGCGAGGGCTTCAGCTAAATCAACTGCTGCATTGGGACTTGCAGTGACTGTCCATGGCAAGCTTTGCCCAGAAGTGAGGTCCTGTGTGCCAGAAGCCAGAAAGCTGTCGTAAGCTGTGAATACTTGAGCAGGACTGTGGCCACTACGAGTGGTAGCTGATAAAGCCCTCAGTGATCTCCCCTACGCCCTGATGACACAAACTCCTCCCCATGTCAGCTGATCTGTGTCCTTCCTGCTTCCCTTCCCCAGCTGCCTTCCAGAGAGCAGTCTCAGCTACACCTGCTTCAGATTGCTCGCTGCTGTGACTGCCTTTCAGGCAAAGGCCCTCCTCTCCCCCTGAAGCCCCTCGGACTCAGAGCCCCCTCACTCCTCACCTTCCGAGGCCCTCCCCTGGCTCTTTTTCCTGGCTACATTGACATACTATCTCCCCGCTTGTTTTTGACACCTGCTAACCTGAGTGTGTTGGCCCTGTCCCTGCGCACTAATCAGCCGTGTGCTGCGTGTCTAGTCAGCAACAGGAGCAGCCTGTTTCCTGTGGGCTTCACAGTCAGTGGTGCCACCTTGTACTTGCCACCCCCGACCTCATTTACTACACATACCATGCAGACAGGCACATGACCCATGCCGTCGATGGGCTGGCACCCCTCACCCTGAGAGCCATGGCTGCCTTTTCCCGGACTTATTTGATGTCGCCTTGGCTTCTGCCTTGCCACCAGAGCCACATCTCTAGAGCGTCTTTCTAGATTGTCACTACCCAAGCTCTCATGCCTGCCCTCTGCCAAGTCCCACAGGATATACCTCCCCCAGCATGGCGGAGGCCCTTTGCAGTTGAAGCCAGGCTATTTTTATAGTCCAGGACGTATGTAAGCCAACTATGCTGTGGAGTTCCTGCCCTCTGGGATGGCGTGGCTCACCCTCCTCCAGCTGCGTTTCCTGTGTGCCCTAGGTGGCCTGCGCGTGCCTTGTGTTGTACACCGCCCAGTCATTCCTGTCTATGATGCCAAGTGCCTTGGTGTGTTAAGCAACCAGGAATTACTAAGAGAGTCAATGAGCAAATGAATCCACGGTCGATTGAACCGATGAGAGATCATGAGACTCCAGAGTGAAGTGTTCTGGCTGTGTGGGACCACAGGAGGTCTGTGCAGGGCGGGGTATCTCGTGACACCCCAAAACTACCTTTTGCCAAGCAAATGGCCATCTTGAGATGCAGCCGGGACATAAAAGAAGCTGAGGCCTCGGGGTGAAGGTCAAAGCTCTCGTTTGGATCCCAGACTTGGGAGCCACGTGGCCTTCAGCAGATCAGTTGTCCCCTGTGATGTAAGTGTGCTCTGTCACCGGCTGGACTGTGAGTGTCGCTGGGTGTGTCGGCTCTGGGAGCAGCGGGGTTTTCAAGGGCAGCAGCCAGCGGTGACGTGCTGATGCGCTAGGACTCTGTCCTTTGGCTCCCAGGGAAGGCTCAAAGTGCTTCTGCTCTGTTCCAGAAACACTTGGCATTCCCCGGGACACTGCATGGAAGCCAGCCCAGCTGATGTGTCTGTTGTCATTGCAGATCGAGATGGCACAGAAGCTGTTGAACTCTGACCTGGGTGAGCTCATCAGCAAGATGAAGCTGGCCCAGCAGTACGTCATGACCAGTCTCCAGCAGGAGTACAAGAAGCAGATGCTCACAGCTGCTCACGCGCTGGCCGTGGACGCCAAAAACCTACTCGATGTGATTGACCAAGCAAGACTCAAAATGCTTGGGCAGACGAGACCGCACTGAGCTTGCGCCGAGCGCGGCTCCCTGCCCTCCCTGGAGGTGTTCTCTGGCCTTCCACCAGCAGCGAGGGGTGACCTGTGTGTCCCCGGCCCAGCGCCCTCGGCCCCAGCTCTGTTGACGGCTGCTTGAAAGTCTTCTCTCTCTCGTATGTTTTAACCACATTTTGATTGGGTTTTGGGGAGTTTTTGTTTTTGTTTCTTTTATCATGATATTCTGAAAAATCCAGGATCCAAAATGTGGCATTTTTCTGGGAATGGGAATTACGCTTTAAGAAGCTTTTGAGATCATGAAGAGCTGTTTCTGTTCACGTAGGATGTGTTTTAATGGAAGTGGCGAAGGGGGAGGTGTGTTCTCTCCTGAGCCACCTTCGCTGCATGTTGGAGGGAGAGTGTGTTGTGAAGAACTCCAGGAAACCCACGCAGCTGAGGATTCTCTGGTCTGCCATGGAACATTATCCAGACTCGAAATTTTCGTTTGTTAGAACACCCTTCAGTTGCATTATGCTAACCCTTCTTTACAAAGAAAGAATATTAAAGCTCTATTTTGAAGACTTGAGTCCTTTCAGGAAAAAACCAACCTGCCTCCCTCTTGGCTCCCTGCCTCCGACTTCCTGTGGCTGCGGAGCGTCCGACTGGAGCCAGCTGGAGACACGGCTGGACGCCTGTCCTCACCAGAACCACGTGCCAGTTTTTTGTAGCAATGTTATTCCTCTTGGAAACAGAAGTGCTTTATACCAGAGCACCTCCAAACTCCACCAAGAAGTTCCAGGACCATCCCTGTTTTCCATTTTTATGTAATTTATAAGGAAAAGATTAAAGCCATGTTGACTATTTTACAGCCACTGGAGCTAACTAACCTTACGTCATGAGTGTCTGTCTTCCCGGACAGAATCCAGCGAAACGGAGGGACTTGGTTTGCTTGGGTGTCTAGTTACACCATCCATTCTGTTAAATAATTTTGAAAAAATGCACCCTCCCTTTAGCGTGTTGAGGGATATAAATTATTCTCAGGAAGAATATAATGAGCTGTACAGTTACTTCAGCCTATTAAAGAGGTGTTATCATAAAGTTCTTGTGGCGATATTCTTTCCTTTTAAATTGTTTAAATATTGTTAGGTGACTTATAACCACCAATCAACTGCCTTTCCCTCTGTAATGCACATGACATGTAGGGCACGGTCGACCACCTGCCCAGCCCGAAGGGCCTTTGGAGTGCACACCCCCAGTCGGGGAAGCCCCCTGGACCTGCCCCACTGGGAACAGTGGGAGGAAGGCGAGCCACCATGGGCCCCGGAGGGTGGGGGCAGTCCAGGGCTCTGACTGTCCTCAGGTGCAGTGTCCGTGGTCTCCTGAGCCCATTTCCTCACCTTTACAATGGGATGGTAAGGATGTGCTCGGAGTAGCGTCGCTGCTAAGGGGCTGGGGGCTGGGTGTTCACGTCTCACTGGCCTCAGCCCATAGGAGGGTAGTGCCGCCACGACTCCCGGGAGGGCACAGGTCACCCTCCAGATGCCCCAGGAGAGTTCTGGAAGACTTCTCCTCAGATCATCGTTGCTGTGTCTCACGATCGAGGACACCACCCACTGCGGCTGTCGGAGCAGGTGAGTGACCAATGACAGGAGCCTTCCTGGAGGCCTGTCACGAGGACCCTTGGGTGGCTTTGTAAAGCGAGGCAGGGAGTTTGAATCTGCGAAGACCCAGGAGAACCCAAAGCTCTCCAGTGAGTCCCCTCCGGATGAGGTGGGTTCTGGGCCCTCTGTAGACACTCGAGTCTCTTGGAGGAGACGGTGAGCTCCGCCAGCTTCCGCTGTGACCAGGTTTCTTTGAGTGCGTGACGTCGAGGTTCCATAGATAGGCATTAATCTGTTGAGGAGCGTTTGGTGCACATGTGGTTCGTTTTCCCCGCTCGGTGGACATTTAGAGGAAGAACCCCTGGCCCCGGAGAGGCCGCTCAGCTGCTGCCCGGCTAGCTGATAGGCACCTGCTGAGGGCGGCACGACGCGCAGCATCGGGGAACCTGCCCACCGCCGTGGGAGAAGCAAGGGGCTGGCTGTGACCCCATCAGGGCTACCCTCTCCCTCCTGTCGCAGAGCTGTGGTCTTACATTGTTTTAGCTAAAGGGATTTGAAAGGCAGAGTGAGAGCTCCCATCAGCTGGTTTACACCCCAGATGCCCTCGGCAGTCAGGGCCGGACCAGGCTGAAGCCAGGCGCTGGGAACTCCGGCAGGTATCACGGATGCCTGGGAGCCACAGGGGTTGAGCCAGAGCGTGCCTTAGCAGGGAGCTGCATGGGAAGTGGACGCTTGACGAAATCCCGGGCTCTTTGACACAAAATGCTGACAAGTGACGGCTTGACCGGCTGCACATCCGTTCCTGGAAGTGCTTCAGCCAGGAACACTCCCACAAACTGGCTTACTGAATTTCCCCCCAAAGACTGCCCTGCTGTAGCATAGATGCCCTCATCCCCTCCCAGCATTGTTCTCCAGGGGCACCGGCTCCTGGCATTCCTGCTGATTATACAGTTCTCCCAGAGGCAGGTGTCCTGGTCACAGTGCCAGGAAAGACGTCACCATCCGGCAGGCAGAAGGCGCCACGTGCGTCAAGGAAGCTGCAGCCTCTTTAAGTATTTGAGTTTTTTGTTTGTTTTTATTGTAAAGGCAGGTTTATATAGAGAGGAAGAGAAATAGGAAGATCTATCCATTGCCCCAGTCCCCAAGTGGCCATAAAGGCCAGCGCTGAGCTGAGCTGAAGCCAGGAACCAGAAGTTTCTTCAGGGTCTCCCACATCAGTACAGAGTCCCAAGGCTTTGGCCTGTCCTCAGCTGCCCTCCCAGGCCACAGACAGGGTGCTGGATGGGAGGCAGGGCCGTCGGATTAGAACCAGTGCCTTTGGGGATCCTGGCATGTGCAAGGCAAGGACTTTAGCCACTAGGCTACTGCACCAGGCCCAAGGTTGGCTCAGTCTTTGCCACAGGTATTTGCTTCTGGTTTTCAGGGTAGTTACTGCTCCTGCCCTCCCACCTAGTTGCCTCTATCAGAAGTTATTTCCGGGGTTGGTCTTGAACAAAGCGGCTAGGGCACCACTTGAGAGGGTCCTGGGCCCTGCATTGGAGTGCATGGGGTCCATGTGAAGCCAGCCGCCTGCCGTCAGGTACTCTTGGCAGTTCCTGACTTTGGCCTGGCCTGGCCCAGCCCGGATGTTGGAAGCATCCGGGGACAAACCTGTCTCCCTGCCGTCCAAATCACTGCAATTATGTTTAAAATTATTCCACGAGGGCCCGGTGTGGTAAACTAGCAGCCAAGTGTTCTTGCATGCATCAGGATCCCATACAGGCACCAGTTCTAATCCTGGAACTCCACTTCCCATCCAGCTCTCTGCTTGTGGACTTGGAAGGCAGTCGAGCACAGCCAGAGCCTTGGGACCCTGCACCCACGTGGGAGACTCAGAAGAGGCTCCTGGCTCCTGGCTCTGCATCGGCTCAGCTCTGGCCATTGCGGTCCCTTGGGGAGTGATTCAGCAGATGGAAGATCTTCCTCTCTGTATATCTGATTTACCAATAAAAAATAAAATTTTTTTTAAAAATAAAATTATCCCATGATATGACTGTTACTGCTGACCTGTTACTGAGTGCCTGTTGGGTGACTGTACTGTCAGTTTGTGGCTAATAAAAATAAAGCTGCTGGGCCCAGTGCAGTAGCCTAGTGGCTAATGTCCTCCCTCACGTGAGCTGGAATCTCATATGAGCACCGTCTCGTGTCCCAGCTGCTCTGCTTTCCATCCAGCTCCCTGCTTGTGGCCTGGGAGAGTAGTCAAGAATGGCCCAAGGTCTTGGGACCCTGCACCCACGTGGGAGACCCAGAAGAAGCTCCAGGCTCCTGCCTTTGGATCAGCTTATGTTGCAGCCATTTGGGAAGTGAATCAGTGGACAGAACTTTTTTTTTTAATACACTTATAGAGTTGATCAAGGGCTACAAGAAAGTGGGCAAGACCATTGTTTCCACACTAATACCGTGTCCAACCCCCCACCTCCCGTATCTGGGATCAGGGGAGAAACAAAAGGAAAAGCCCCACCCAGCCTCCCACCCATCCCAGGTCCCCGACGTGGGGCACGCTCTGAGGGTCCTGCTCAAGCAGTTTTGATAGTTCAACAGTTCTGAATTGCTGCCAATCTCGCCATTCCAATCACAACAAAATCTATTCAGAATCCACTGGCTGACACAGTCTCTTCATGGTTGGGGTTCTGAGACCAGCAGTTCAGTTGGAGGGATCTCCAGACAAACTTCGTCTGAGGATCCCAGACCTGATTCTTGTGTGAGTTTGCCAGTACAGGATCGGCACAGTCCATCGTCCCAATCAGCTCATGCACATGCTGGTCGTTGCAATTGCTGGGTCAGTTCCGTTTCCAGCCTGGTCTTCGACATGAACCAATGGTTGTTGCAGTCCAGCCCGATCCTGCCCACTTCATTCTCGGTCCTCACGCTAACCAGTGGGAGCTGCAGCCTAGTCGAGGCGACTCCCCATCACCCCCACCAGGCCTGTCCCCTACCTTGGTTCCTGTGCTTGCCAGTATGTACCGCCGACTTGTTCAGTCTGCCCTGCATCCCATTTGGCTCTCGTACATGTCAATGGGCCTTGAAGCCTAGTTCAACCCAACCCACACACATACTGGCAGGTGCCTTTCTGTCTAGCCACCCCTGCCCCTGTCCTGGTTTTTATGCTCTCCAGTGGGAGTGGTAACCCAAGAGGGAGGTGCCCACTATTTCCTTCCTGGGCCACTCCCACTCCCAGATTATGCACTCTCCAGGTGGTTCTGTGGTTTAACTTGACAGATTAAGCCCCCAGTGCCAGCCTCTGCCAACTGATGCTGAGGCAAAGCCCAACCAACCTTCACCCACTCTGATTTTTGCTTGCACCAGTCGGAACAGTCAGCCCAGCCTGGCTTTTCCCTAATCCAGCTCACATGAGGCCCACAGGTGTTGTAGCCCTGCCTGGTCTGGTCTGCCCCCATCCCAACTCATGCTCTCCAGTGGGAGTGGCTGTCCAGCAGGGGAGCCCACATTCCCCCTACCAGCTTTGCCCCCTCCCTCCCTGGTTCTCACGTGTGCTGTTTGGGTGCTGCGGCCACATCTGGTACGGCTCACCTCACCTTGGCATTCCGTAATGTGCACTGGTTTGTGTCGCGACGGATGGAACATCTTTGTCTCTATCTGGTCTCTGAAAATCTCCCTTTCCAATAAAAATAATTTTTAATAAATAAAGCTTCTGTGAATATGTATGTAGAAATGTGTTTTCATTTCTCAGATGAGCTGTGAGTGAAATTTCCGGAGCACACCTTAGCTGAATGTTTAGCTTGATTGGACGCGGCCAAGCACGCCTTCCAAGGCGGTTGTACCACTTTGATGCTTGCGTTTCCAGCATTTGGAATGTCGTAGTGGATGTGTGAGCTGTCTCGTTTGTTTGTGTTTCTTCCATGTCAGTGATACTGAGCATCTGCTCGCGCACTTCCTAGCCATGTGTGTTTCTCTCAGGGGTCATGTGCACACTGCCCTTTCGAAGACTGGGCCGTGTGTCGTTCCGGAAGGGTGGATGGCGTGGGCTGGCCTGGACCCTGCCTTTCTCTGCCCAGTTCTGGACGTCCGAAGCTAAGGCCTCTTCTGTTAGTGACGTTTACATAGTTGATGAGGGTGGGAAGGGTCCAGGATCGGGCCAAACGGGGGAGCCGTTGTTTCCATATTTTCTTTTCCTTCTTCCTGTATCTGGGGGGAGGGGAGAAGTCACACCCAGCCTTCCAGCCGCCTCAGTACCCAGGTGTGGGGGGCAGCCACCTGGTGTCATCCCAAAGTCCCCAGTGTAGAGCACGCTCCCAGATTCTGTTCAGGAGATTTGATAGTGCTGGAATGCTGTCAGTCTCACAGATGCAAGGATGAGGCCACCCTGCCAAAGTCCGTTGGCTGACACAGTCCACCTCCGAGCGAGTCTCCATTCATTCTGAAATTTGCCATCATGCTTCAACTGGGATAATTGGCCATTCTGTTCTGCCCTCCTTCTACTGCTTCTACCAGGT